ATTTCAATAGCCTCACTGGTAAGGGTGGAACAGAAATTAAAGCCCTGGATCCACATAAGTAGGGAGAATAAAAAGGTCTTCACATTATTCTGGGCTCCTAAGAGCCAAAACCTGAAAATAAGAGGAAGCAGAATGAAGCCTCATTCCACTCCGGAACCAGTCTCCCCAGAGATAGCTGCCTTGGCATGTCAATCCTATGTGAGGTGTGGGAGGGGGCTCCCTGAGAAGTCCTATCCACAAGCTTAGTCCTACTGCAACCCAGATTCACATCAACTGGGTGATAAAAAAAAAAATGTTAAATTTAAGTGGTCCCAGAGTAGGAGAGCTGCCAGGCACAAGGCAGAACTACTCCAAGTAACTCATCCTCCCTGAAAAAAGGCCATTCATCCTAAGCCTCAAAAGAAGATTTGCAAGTAATTTTTCATCAGTAATGACAAATACCCAAAAATAATCAAGCACAGAAGAACTGATCAATAAAAAGGGAGAGTGAGAAATGTAATAAAAATATAGATCCTGAGAACGAATTTATTGCTTTAAGAATTCTGTAGCCATTTATTCAACAAATATTTATTGCACACCTACTCTATGCCAGGCTCTTTGGCAGATGCTGAACATATATGCTGTGCTAAGAGTCATATGAACAGATCTTCCAGGGTCTAAAAGGTCAATTAAGTCACCATTACTTTGATGCTTATTTATCTTTACTTTCTGAGTTCTCCTAATACAAAGACTAATGTATGCCCATTACTATTTAGTGATAGATCTTGAGATAAACAGTAATCTCTTAGGACTGAGACTGACATCATTGACTCTTTTCTCAGATTCTCATTCCTTAAAGGCTCCATGGTGGAGTTAAGCCTAATTATACCCTACGCAAACCATGGAGTGACATGTATTAACAGAAAAGTGACAAAGACAAAGAAAACTATCTCAATAAAGCTATAAAGATATAAAGCTCAATGTTAACTATATTTATCTTTATAGTAAAGTCCAAACAGATGGTCTATTATTGGGAATAACAGCATTAACTGGATAACATTGATTTTAAGGTAGATGTGGAAACAGCTGAAGGGACAGGAAGGGTGGAGGGAAGTTAGATCAATATTTACTTATATGCAGATTGCCTTTCTTGACCAAAGTTGTTGCCAAAAACGTGCTAATACAGTATTTGGGTTACTTAGTTGTGTCTACACTAATAATCAATCTTCTATTCAAGCTTTCACAACAAGGATTCAAATTGTCACGTCTATATTTCTGCATTTGTTTTCCCGTATTAAATATTTAGATGGTTGTCATTTACTGAGCCTTCAGAACAGTATAACCTGTGCTTGCTTGCTTTCTCTCTCTTTCTTTAATGATGTGTGCTTTCTTCCTGGGTATGCTAAACCACAACAGTACAGTGTAATAATGATCAAAATCATTCTTGTCCCATTTCATAGATGAGGAAACAATAGGCCAGACAGGTTACAACCTGAAACAGAGGTATAGAAGGGGCAGGAACAGGAGTGTCRATATTGGACAGGCCTAAATTTAAATCGTGTCTACATCCCTGGTGTTGCTTCTCCCCTGGAGATAATACTCAGTTTTCCGAGGTGAACTTCAGTGTGTATGGGTCAACAGCTCTAGAAAGTCTTGGTTCCTCATCTAGAAACTCATATCTTGTCCTAAGTAGTGTTTTCAAATGGTTTTAAAAGTCGCTATTTTGCGGAAAATAATGCAGCATCATACAGAATTTTAAAAGTAATGAAAATGTAGATAATCCTTTATAAAGAGCCTTATTATTATTATGTTTTCAGTGCTGGAGATTGAACCCAGAGATGTTCAACCATTGTACTACATTTCCAGCCCTTTAAAAACATATATGCAAGTGTGTGTGTGTGTGTGTGTGTGTGTGTGTAAATAAGAATTAAGTATTATATGAAGATTATATATATAAAACTTGAGACAGTGTATACTATGTTGCTCAGGCTGGCCTCAAACCTGTGATCCTCCGGTTTTAGCCTCCCAAGAAGCTGGAATTACAGGCATGCACCACCGCGTCTGGTAGCCCTATGGTTTTTAATATTCTTCATTCATTCCTAAAACTGACTTGTTTGATCCTGTAGAAAATAACATAATATTTCAATTGATATTTTTTTGGTTGGGTTTTTCCAGAACATTATTACACTGTCTGTGGGCTTAAAAAATGCTTATTGGAAATGATACACAGAGAAAGGCCCAGCTATACACTTTAAAATGGTTAAAGTGGTAAATTTTACATCAAGTACATTTTGTCACAATAAAAAGTTTTCTCCTTTTCAAATGAAAAGAGAAGGTGGAAGAGGACAAAGGCCCAGGTCTCTGCCTTCCCTTCATTCCAGACCCCTGGAGGCAGCCTGCCTTTCGTTCTCCTGAGTATATGTGTGTGTGTGTGCAAAGGATGGGTTCGGAGGGTGGCCAGGGTTGGAGGGGATCAAGGTTAGAAAGGAGGGATGTGATTGGCCACTGTTTCTTTGGTTTTCATGGTAAGATGGCTCACACAGAAGGAATGTATTACCTTCCTCTATAAAAACAACACTTTTTCTTTTTTTAAGCGTATGAGAAAATCATCCTACATGCTTTCATTTAACCTGAAACTAGTTACTCTTCCTACAGTGCTCTGAACTGAAAGGCTACATTCATTCAGAGAGTAGACAAAAAAGAAAAATATGGTAAAGATGTTTTGTTTTGACAAAAATCTGCTAATACAGTTTGGGGTTGGTCTGGTGCGTGTGTACTAATTATCAACCTATGTCATACTTAAGTTTTCACAATAAGGACTCAAAGGGTCATCACCTGGCACACAGGAGGGTCTCCAAACTTTAGAAGTTACCACAGTGACTGCTGTGTGAATTGACCCTCCTGTACTCATAATGCAGGAAACAATTTAAGAGCGTCTACAAATCACTGAAAAGATCAGCCCAGCCTCACTCCTAGGCTGGCTTCTGAGCTAAGCAAGAGTTACTTCTCAAATAATTCATTAGTTCAGAGGCCTTGCATGTGGCTCTGAGCTAAAACACATTCTGAGTTAACATTTAAAGTTTGAGAGATTCCATGTGTATTTGCACATGGGCTTGCTGTAAGTAGTACCAATAGTACCCATCTGTCCCTTTTTGGGAACTTGGATTGGTAACTGGATTATAACTGTTTTTAGGTTAAATAAAAATTCAGAAGTCCTGTTTCAGTTAGGTATTTCAGGTATTAATGTAATCCTACAGCCCCCACAAAAACAGAAGGTTCAAAATGTGTAAATAGAAAAACTAAACCCCATTCCTCAATTTTCTCACTTGTGACTGTGCAGAGTCCCCAGGATGGATTTGTAAAACCCCTGTCCTCAACTGTCCACTTCTACAAGCTTTTGCTAACTGGAAGCATGAAGAAGAGAGAACCCTCATCCCTTTCTGATTAGTGCTTGACGAAGCCCCACATTGGGACTAGAAGGCATTCTTGATGTAAGCAGGGAGGCAAGAATAAAAACCCCATTATAGAATAAGTAATTGCTACAGCAGCTTGTCATTTAGATGTCACCCCTTAGAATCTTACAGAAATTAATCATATAAAATAGGAAAACAGGCAATCATCACTTAATATTTTACAAGAAAATTATGATACCGAGAGTCTCTCTCTCCTTTAAAAATCACTCCTATAAGAGGCAGCTGAACCCCAACTATTGCCCCACCCAAAACGGATGCCACCTTCCTCTTGGGCCAGTGTGGTTCCCTGAGGCCATTGAGTCCCCACCCTTTTCCCTTGCTGCTCAAGTCACACTTCTAGTACCTGCATGGTCCCTCCACTCTCCTTCCCCCTGCAATTTTTTCACATCCTGTCCAGCCCACCATAAGTACTGTACACCTCAAAGATATCTCAGCATTGTATAAGAAAAATAGTAAACATTTATTAAACATCTGCAAGGTGCCAAGCATACGTTTAACTCTTTGAGAGAGGACTACCTATTTAGTGGTCACCGCAATCATCTGAGGCTTGCAGTGGTGTGGTTAAAGATGAATGTCCACAGCCAGACTGCTGGGCAGGATTTTAATCAAGGCTTGTAGACCACATCTGGGGTGACCCAAATGCTGTCCTTCCAACTCTTAGAGTCTATGATTGTTGCTGTCATTTTCCCCACCTTTATTGGGGTATAACTGACAGAACTGCTGCTATTTTTAAGGATGCAAAATTTGTAAGAGTCTGTGTTACTACATAGGAAAGGAACGTTTTTTTCTCTTTAATAAGCCTTCATATTTCGCAATGAAAAGGAAGAGCCCAGACTGATTCGGGAGAAAACTGCACCCCCCCTCCCCGAAAAGTCCTCTTATCTTGCTCCACCAAACCGAGGTGCTAATTCTCAATACTAAACTTGAGATGTCACTCAATGTCAACAGGGAACCGAAGCATGCTAGAGGGTTAAGTCCTGACTGTATGTAAGTGCAATTTCCTCCAGTTAGCCTAGATAATTGCAGTTTCTTCTAGGAAAGTCTGTCATTAAAGTCCACTCCAAGAAAGTTCCATGGTTAAAACCTCAGTGACTGTCGCTGACGTGTGCTCAGCGATCAGACCTGGCAGAACCGGAGTCAGCTCAGCCCACCACCCACTCTGCTGGCGCAGAGGTCCCAACGAAGAAAAGGCGGGTCCTAGAGCGCTGTAAGGGTTAGAAAGGGAATTTCCTATCTTTGGTCCTATCTAGATCCAGACCCACTCTGCAAACTCGGGAGGTCTCTCTCAGGCGCTATCACCCACTAGCGCGGTTCTGAGAGGCGCCGCGAGGAAAGGAGCTGTCTGATGAGGACTGCTCGGGGAGTCCCGGACCCCGCCTCGCCCTCCGGCTTTTCCTCCTCCGCGCCTTTCTCTTCCTCCTCCTCTTCCCGGCGCCCGAGCCTCCGCGCTGCGGTGGCTGCCTCCTCCCGGTAGGGAGGGACCCCAGTGCCCGGGGGTGGGCGCAGCCTGGTAGGAGGGGGCGGGGAGGCGGGAGACTGGAAGCCTACCGTCCTCTGCTTCTTGACCCCAGACATTCTGGCTGGCTGTGGCGGAGCCCGGGTTCTGGGACCAGAGACCGAAGGTCGCACGGATGGCGGCTGTGATGGTGGCGGCGGCTGCTCGACTCCCGGGAAGGAGGTATAAAAAGGCTCCGCAGACACGTCGCACTTCCCTTGACCAGCCCCCTTCTCCTCCTCCCGCCGCCCTCCTCTCCGCCCCGTCGGCTCCGCCAGCRGCGCCCAGCCCCGGGGACCCGGCGAGCTGCCTGGGCGGGGTCCCGGGCCCGGCCCCCGACTCGCGGGCGCGCGCTCTGCCAGCCCAGGTCCGAGGCCAGATGTTGCAATCCCAGCTGTCGACTGGCACTCCCCGCGCGCAACCCCGGGTCAAGTTCGTCCTCGTCCCCAGCACACCTAGAGGGTTCCAGGGCGTCCTCCACCTCTGGCTCCATCCCGGCCTTCTGGACCCAAGAATTTATTCGGGTAAGGGCAGGGATGCTTGAAGTCTCAGGGAGGCACGCCGGCACGGTCCTCACAGGRCCCTGAGGTGCAATTTGTCTTCACATACATCACTTAAAAGTCGTTGTAGATGGAGAGATCCTTACTCGGCACTCCCCTGAGCTTTGCTGTAGCCCTCAAGTCCCCCCAACCCCGAACCCTTCCCCATCCTGGCCCTGCCAGAGGCAGCAAGTCCTACTTTCTCTCTATGGTACAAATGAGTCAATCGAAACGTTCAGATTTTGCCAARACGATATTCCAAGCGAGAGGATTCAAACCAGGCTGTCAGCCCCTACCGTGCAGACTTTGTACACCAGCTGCACCAAGCAAGATGATTAGAAAATCCGCGAGGTTCAAGAACCACTTGTGCACTCTACACCAGGCACCATGCTAAGGGTTTTACATATATTTATTCCATTTAAGCTCACAATACTATCCTCACAGTACGGACTGGCCAGCAGAGGCACGACCCCGCCTCACAAATTTAGGTAAACTAGTCCAGCTCCAGGCAATAGCCAATGGTAGTTCAGAGACTTGTTTCAGTACATCCCCCAACTAGGATGCGCTCCGTAAAGGAGAAAAAGGCACAAAGTGAGAAGGCTCCTGGCCCCAAGGTTTTTTCAGAGATCAGTGAGAAGCAACTCTGAAAAGACCCAAATGTCAGGTAGGAGCAGAGGGGAGGAAGAGAAACTGCCCCAAGGGAGCAGTCGCTTAGTTTCATACTAAACTCCTTGCAGGATGCCACGAATAGATTAACATGACAGTGCTCTCAAAAGAACCAAGAAGACACACAAGAGTCACAATCATTCTAACTCTGATCTGCTTTCTGTGAAAGAACTGGAGAAGTTACACTCTAAGGAAATGAAAGATGGAAGTTTCCCTTTATATCTAATTGTATTTCTGAATACTGCCAATTTTCCAGACAGCATCTGAAGATCTGAGTATTCACTGACTTCGTTTCTCCATGGGAAGGTGGAAAAAAATAAATTTGAGTCAAAAATCTTAAAAGGCACCCTGCATGTCTGTAGTCTTGAGATGTCAGCTTACTTATTTTTTTCATTTTGAGTAAACTGCCACCACTCCCTTCAAATGCAAGCATCTAGGAGGCAAATGCCGATTTTGAGTTCCTGTGCTCCACACAAACTAGATCATTTTGAATTTATCTGAGGTTTAAACAGCAATATCCTGTTTTTATTTCCCTGGAAAATCCTTTTGTATTAGTTCCAGTCATATCCTGGACCTTGTCAAGTTCTGTCCTAAAGAGAAGGTAAGTTAAGTGTAGATTGAGAAACCATGCAATTTGAATGATTACTGTGTTTTAGTTCATATTGCATCTAAAAAAAAAAAAAGAGCTGTGTTCTTGAAACAGAAAGAAGTTAAGGGTAAATCCCTAAGGGCTACTTCCTGGAAAAGAAATACATAATTATTATGACCTGGGAAAGATTTTTAGATCCCATGTAAAACTTGTGCTCTGGGAAGGAAGATAATTTGACCAGATCACTAGTTAGGCGAGGCAGGGCCGAGACTCAAACCCAGTTCAGCAGACTCCCCAAATGCTGTGACCACTGAATTACTCATCTTCTAGGTCAACTATTTCAAGACCCCATGATAACTGTAAACCAGAATGTTTATCTTGTTTTCAATTTAGTTAGTTTTCAAATAATACTTTGGAAAACTTTTTCTTTCTTTTTTAAAAACTGTTCCAAAGGCATGTGAAATTGGAGGACTTAGCCGTCTTGTATTTGAGCTGTGTTCTTTATGACCCTTTAGTGTCACAGTTTAGTCATAATTCAGCATGGCAACTTACTAAAAAGTTGAAAAAATAAAGAAATAAAAACCTTACTTTCCTAGGATCTTTCTTCCTAAAGGCAATGTCTTGAATTCTTTTTCCTCTGTCTTCTTGATCCTATGAGAAAGCCTTCCCGCTGAACAGATATGAGCAACTAGAGAAGCCCAATTTAGGGAGTTTATGACTCTGGCACACAAGAAGTGGAGAAGATTCATTCAGGAAATGGGAGGAAGGGTCAAGGTTTGTCCATTCAAACGGACACATTCTCCATAGCTTCCTCATTAATGTTTCCTCCAAGACTCCCCTGTAAAACACGGTAGACTGCATAACACCAATATATATAATCCTTGATATTACTCACAACACTCACATGAGGGCTGGGCTTTCTCCTTATTTCTTCTTTCCTGAAACTGGTTGGGCTTGAGTATGTTAATAAGGTGGTGCTTACCAGTTGATCCTTTTATTGTTTAGAGGAGTTGGAATTGGCCAACAGAGGATACATATATAAAGAATGTTTCTGTTGGTGAGATATCTATGACACAGGTTCCTGAGCCTTTTAGAAGGTCTCATCCCATTTTAGTGGATCTAGCAAGGAAGAACCTCCCCTGGATGGTCATCACAAAGGAATGCAACTATATTCCCCCCTAGTGGCTGTAATGCTTAAATGCTAAAAGAGACCTAAATGTGGAAACTCCCTGTTACAAAATGTGCAGCATTCCACTGGGTAAGAATGCACTTAGTGAAAGTCCTCTCAGCACAAGCATTATGTAACAAATAAGAGCAAGCCATGGTCCCTGTCTTCAAGAAACTCACAATCTATTTGAAGGAAACAGACTCCCCCTAACCTTGTAATTTTAATATAATGGATAATTGGCAAAGGTAAAAATGATAAATGCATGCCTTAGACATTTTATTTTGACATATCACATATATACTTTACTAATATTTTGATATGGCTTCTATCATGGTATGGGTCTACTGATGGGAGTTCCACAACCCACTTTCATTAGCTAGCTTTAACCATTTTCCAGCTGGGGATTTTAAAAAGTTAGACATTAAGGGCACTTAAGAAACAATCAGAGAAACAACTATTTTGATTCCTTCAAGATCACTACTTTCCTTATTCCATCTTTGTTGTCATGCCTGTGACTAATCCAACAGTACAATTTTGAGAAGTTTATCTTTCTAAAACATCTATCTGTTTTTATAGAAAATAAAACTCTTTTACCACTCACATATTATTCATTTAAGTTACATCTAATTCAGTTCCTTACTACACTAACAAGTAGTGGGGCATACATAAGTTAAAGAACAAACAATGRATGTCAGCAAGCATCCTGCATAGGTGCTGAAGGGTGTAGACTTTACAGTGCATCCTGCTGTTGAAGGACATTCAATTTGTTGTGGACCTTCATGATTTCTTTTTCTTTTCTTTTCTTTCTTTCTTTCTTTTTATTTTCTAGAAGAAATGGAGAGTATAGATTAAACTGGCCAGTCAGCTACAAGAAAAGACACTGTGGGAGCAGTATGGAGGGACATCCAGTTCCATTTYAGGAGAAGGGAGAATGGAGATTGATGTCATGAAGAGGATACATGAACTGAGACTAAAAACAGGTTTGCTAGCCCTTTCCTCTCCAAAGTGCATGGTGTGGAAATTTAAAAATTGAAAGGCAGAGAGATGAAAGAAATAATATGGCATGCTCAGAAAATTATAAGTATCTATATTGCTGATTTTAGGAGACAACAGAAGAGCAGGAAAGGTTGTAATAGAAGAAATGCCACAGACAATCAGGCAGCAGTGTGATTTTGCACGTTCTATTCATGCCCATCAGAGTGTGTTAGCCACGTGACTGGTCCTCATTATAACTTGGGACACTTCTCAGGTCCAAGACTAGAAATCATTGTTCTGAGGTGTTAATGGTTTGGTGAAGGAGATGGACATATAAACAAATAATTCCAAAGAAATGTCTTTTGTTTGTTTGTTTTTGTTTGGGTACTAGGGATTGAACCCAGGGGCACTCAACCATTAAACCACATCCCCAGTCCTTTTTTGATTTTTATTTTTCATTTTGAGATAGTATCTTACTAAGTTGCTTAGGTCCTCACTAAATTGCTAGGGCTGGCTTTGAACTCACAATGCTCCTGCCTCATAGCTGCTGGGATTACAGGCATGCGCCAATGCACTCAGCTCAAAGAAATGTCTTAAATGCTGGAATGAATGGATATTCAGAGTAATAGGGAAAGTGCAAAACAAAAAAGTGGGAACAATGACTGCTGACTGACAGGAGATGCTATGGGTGGTGATATTTAACCTGAGTTTTCAAGGATAAAAGGAAACTAGATAGGAGCCCCCCTATTTACTGATGGCTAACACTGCCTGAGCTGTCTTCTGGCTGCATGAAGTATTTACTTCCCACCATGATGTTCCCTGGGTCTCTTTTTGAAGYACCCTAGCCTATCACTAAAGACAGGTAATGTCGAAAGAGAAAAACTAGTGACAACTGGAGATGACACTTGCATCAATGACCCTGTAACCAAAGTTTGCCCAGAGGGAAAAAGGTCTTCACTCCCAGCAAAAGGAAAACCTTTCTGCTATTTTTTAGGTGGAATGCTGTGCAAAGTTTTCAACTATTCCTTACATTTGTTTAAAAAGAAATCTACTTATTAGTGTACTCTTACATTCCACAAAATAGAAACTATTAGGGCATGTATGGAAATGCTCTCCAAATTTCAATGGATTTCAATGAAAACAACAATTACAAGCAAACCAATTAGTTCAGTTAATTAATTGACTGAATTTTTCATACTTCAACAGATTCTTTTAAAATATGTTTAGCAAAGTGGCAGAAAACTTAATCCACGTTGTTTAAAAGTTTAAATCAGAGAAATAACCAAATTTAAATCATTAACTTAAATTATTTAACTGTTACTTTGTTTAGGTTATGGAAATATCCAATTTAAGTTTTAAG